TTAATCTTATGTGAAGCTCCAACTTGAATTATTTCCACACTTTCTATCTTCCTCTGCAATTGGTAAGCCAAGAACTGTGTACAGTATTGTCAAAAAACACAGGATTACCTCATGCTTTCTYTGTTATTCCAGTTTTCCTTCTATGCAGTGAATCAGATAATAATTGTGTTCTTAAAATGTATCAGGCTCTGAAGCCTGTGCCTAGAAACCCATTTCATAATATGTCAAACAGGATTAAATGGACAGTTTTTTAAATCAGGAACTGTACTAGTTATTATAGGGCATTTGTTGGGGGGTACCAAGGACTGAACTAAGGGGCACTTGACAACTGAGCCCTCTTTTGTATTTCATTTAGAGATAGGATCTCACTGAGTTGCTTAGTGCCCTGCTTTTGCCAAGGCTGGCTTTGAATTCACAATCCTCCTGCCTCAGCCACCATGCCTGGCTGGGGCATTGTTTTATAACAGCTGATCATGACCCATTACAGTGGACAGTAAACACCATTTGAAAACATAAATAAAATTAAAAAGTAGTAGAGTGCTACTAATATTTGGAGAAGTCCTTATGGCGTGTGCGCGCGCCCACACACACACACACACACACACACACATACACCTTATACCTGTACATAAGGGTTGAACATAAAATGTATCTCCTTCTGGGAGTTCTAATAAAAAATGTATCGAATCCATTTTTTTAGGGCAAAGTCTTCTATACTTTCCTCAAGATAAAAATCATCTGGGAATCATGTTTTTTWAAAAAAAAATTCTTGGCCTCAACCCAGACCTGCTGAATCAGAATATCTAGAGGAGAGAAAAGGATGCAGAAATCAGAATATTTAACAAATGCAACAGCTGATTCTTATTGTCAGACAGATCTGGGAAACACCACTATGAATGAGTTGAGATTCAAAAAGTTAATAATAATCTAGACCTAATCTGATAAAGAGTTCCCCTTCAAAAAAAAGTACCCAAACTTATTGAGGAGATAAAGCACCTTAGCCTTAAATTTAGACAAATTTAAATAATAGCTATCACTACATCCTGGACTTACATCAAGGGCCAAATGTAAGATAGAAATAAATCTAGAGTAACACAGTATCCCTCCTATTCCATAGTGGCAAATCAATTTTTTTTTCTATCATCAAGTATTTCTTCATCTTTCTAAATAAAATCACTGAATTAGAAATATTAAGATGAAGTGTAAAGTACACTTCACAGTTTAGCAGAATCCATGGCAATTCCCCAAATCCTGCAGTACATCTGGAGATGAGGGACCTTTTGCACTGCTGGAAATGCTAAGGTGTGAGGTGAGCATGCCCGAGGTTAGCATCTTCCCTGCCTATCCCACCAGAGCTGCCCGTTCTATGGGGTGTGGTGTTAATCTGAGCATTATGGAAATACGGGATTTAATTTCTACAGAACCATATGTAACCTATGTTTGCTGTTATACTATGGCAACTAGAAATAAGTGTCCTGCTAATATTAAACCAAATGGACTTAATTGACTTTGTTTTCCACTTAGATAAACACTGGGAAAGCCAGAAAATTGTAAAGAGTGTTGTGTATTGGGCTGGGGCTATAGCTCAGTTGGTAGAGTGCTTGCCTCACATGCACAAGGCCCTGGGTTCAATCCCCAGAACCACACACACACACACACACACACACACACACACACAAAGAGTGTTGTTTATATAAGCTACATTTACACTGAGGATACAAAACATCTCTTAAAGGTCTATTTTGATCATAAAATTTAAAAATATACCTTGTGTTTCTTAGTGATGAGACATGAAAGGAACTATCAAAGCCAGCTGCCATCCCTATGAGTCAGGTGTGCTCTCAGTTGCTATAAATAAACTACCTGCTGCAGTACCACCCAGTGTGAGCACACTTTATTATCCCAAAGCATGTTTCAGGTAATTGTGAAAAAGCGAGGGCTGAGTTCTTATGTTATCAGTGTTTTTCACAATTGATAGCACCAAAAATCTTCAGTGATACCCTGATTTCAGTAAAAACACAAAATCATTTTGTTTTATTTGAAACAAAGTAACATCATTAAGAACTTAAAGTATATTTTAATTGAAATAAATACCATGGATCTCTTTTGAGATTATTGGACCTTTTGTGCTTTCCATACATAGAAACACAAATGAAAAAAAAAATTAAGGACAACCTGAAATCATCTAGCCCTTTATATGACTGGATAATTCTGTTGTTTCTCTATAATAAGTTATAGTGTACAGATATTAGTGGAATTATATATGTTTAAGTTTCTACTTTAAATTAAAACTGAAGCCTCATGAAATTTCTAACATAATTATTTTAAAAGTAGAGAATCCTATACCTGTTTGTTCCTTTTACCTTTGTACCATGTATTTGCAACAAAATTTGCACCATATATTTGTCTTGTGTATTTAAAAATATAAAATATGCAATTTTTTAAAGTGAGAGAGAGATCTTAATAAAAAGGAAAAGGAAGATGATTTGGGAAACTCTGTTTGATTTTGCCTATAGATTCAGTAGGAAGGGTTGCAAAGCTATTGAAAAGAATGAGAGAGAAGGAAGTAGAGATGATTCTAGGATATTTATAGTATGTCTAATATTTTGTCCATTTTAAAAGAAATCGTATAATCAACTAGATCTGTAATGCCTCCAGAAGTCAGAAATAAACACCAGGATTTTTTATTTTCCTCAACAATTTTTAATTGCCTTAAAATAGTAATTCTATATTTCCTATTTCCATCTTATATTTCAAGAAATGTTTGCAAACTAGCACTTTCTAAGGAGCATTTCCACTTGCAACTAATTTAACTGCCTTTTAAGACAGTATAGTTTTATAGGAAAGAGAAGGAGGCCTAAAAATATCCTTGTGGCACTGGATATTAAGGGTGTGGATATTAACTTTGGGAGTTGAAACAGATCTGGAGATTGTCTAATTCAAGTCGTTGCAGGAAGACATGCCTTTCCCATAAAATTACAAAAACTTTAGTTATTATATCATACCTGCTGCTACCAAATATTAAGACAGTATCCTCAAAAATACTCAACAAGTAGATTGATGAATTCTGAAAAGTTAGAGAAGCTGTTCATAGAAGAAGTTTATAGACTTTATCTCATACATTTTTCTCTCTTTTTAAAATCCTTCATTAACAAGTTTTTCCATTCTATTAATTGAAATTCTTCCGTTTCCAATTATAGCCCATTTATTCTTGTTCCTCAAGAAAGAGACTATTTAAACAATATTTTCCTTGTATTCATTTCTTTACATTTATGGTACCTATCACAATGTTTTACCTAAATTCTCTTTCTTTCTTTTTTTTTTTTTCTTTGTACTGGGGATTGAAGCCAGGAGGGATTTACACTGAACTATATCCCAGTCCTTTGAAAAGATTTTTTTAATTTGAAACAGGGTCTTGCTAAGTTGTTGAAAGTCTCGATAAATTACTGAGGCTGGCCTCAAATCTGCAATCCTCCTGCCTCAACTTATAGGCATGTTCACCTGGATAAATTATCACTTAAATGGATGAATACTTAATATGTATTTCATTACTTTTTATTGTGATAATAAATATATAGTAGGAAATCTACCTTCTTAAAATTTTAACTATACAGTACAGTGTTGATAATTATGCAGACGTGTTGTACAGAACTCTAGAACTTTTTCATTTTGCCCATCTGTAACTCTGTATCTGCTGAACAACCTCCCCTCACATACCCCCAGACCCTGTCCACCACTACTCAACTTTCTGCTGCTAAGAGTTTGACTACTTTAGATACTTTGTAAGTGGCATCTTGGTATCTTTGTCCTCCTGTCATTGTTCTTTACCTTTAACTCTATCAKTTCATTCCTTATTTAGCTTTTTTATTTACTCATTTTTGTGTTCTATATTGGACCTAGTTTTTCACACCCCATTTAAACATCAAATTGAATAATATACTAAAAGAATAAGGTGTGTGTTTCCATGATTCTTACAAATTTAAACCAGTATTAATATATCTGAGAAAAAAATTAGCCTTGCCCTATACCACATGGTAAAATCTCTATAATCACTGTGATTCCTAGATCTTTCCATTGGAGCATCACATTTTGACATGAARGACTCTTCCATTTTTAGTGCTTAGCAAAATCTCAAGTATGACCTGTTAACTAGATTATCCTCACCATAGTCAGGAAAGGGAATGGGAAAGGTTTAGGGGTAGCTCAAGTTTGCAGTGGGAAATAGGCTAATACTTAATTATGCCTATAGGCCATATTAGTGGATAATACAAAAATATACATATCTGAYCCAGGAATGCTACATCAAAAACTATATACTTTGATAATATCTGGATACATTTTCAAAGGATAGATACACTCATTTTTTTTGTCTAGAATTAAATACATGAATGTTTAAATTAATATGTATTTCATTACCTTTGGGAATAAGATTATTAATGGGCATACTGCATATAGAAGGAATCGAAAGATAAAAAAGAGACATTTTACTTTTCATYTTACGCTTTATATTTTGTATTGCTTGTTTACTTTTATGGTTTTTTACTTTACATGTAAAAATTTAAAATATCTGAAGATCTCATTTTTTTTATTGGTTGTTCAAAACATTACACAGCTCTTGACATCTCATATTTCATACTTTAGATTCAAGTGGGTTATGAACTCCCATTTTTACCCCGTATACAGGTTGTAGAATCACATCTTGATTCTGAAGAGCTCTTTGACCAAAAAAGAAAGTTTTTATCACAAGGTAGTACTTTCACCCACAATTAGGATGTTTTTCTTCCAGCGTTTGAAACATATGATGTCTTAAGACAGATTTGTTCATTTTCTATATTGATAGTTGAATGGAGGGAAAAAGCATTACTCCCAAGCCCCAAAAGTTTGCTCTTAGGATGTGAGAGAAGGCTGGGGTGGGGTGGGGGTGGGGGAATAGGAAAGAAGCTCTGACATCTTCAAAATGACTTCACTCTGATGGATCACTCTATTCTCTTCCCTTCCAGAGGAGATTTGCACCCTGGTTATCGCTGAGACTTTCCCTGAAGACGCAGGGATTTTCACCTGCTCTGCAAGAAATGATTATGGATTAGTGACCAGCACTGCCCAGCTAGTTGTCACCTCAGGTATATGGAGAATCTAAAATGCCTTGGTTCTGTTCCCCAGGTATGGTTCCTGAGGCAGAATGCAATTGTCCCTGGAAGATGGCTCAGCTGTTGGAAATGCTGGCTGCTACCAGAACAATCAGATGTTTCATTACGAAACAGAAAGCTTTGGGGGAGGGACATGAGGGGGGTGGAGGCAGAGTTGACAGATAATGACAGTGGAGCATCTGAGCACTCATGGGGCTATTTTTTTAAGTCATACCATATTGACCTTGGAAACAATGGGCGGATTTCCTAACATCATGCTGACCTAGAATTATAGTCACCTCAGAAATCAGAGGTGCGGTCTCTGTTCTCAGCAGTGCCAACACATGAGATCTAGAGGTACTTTTACAAATATTTCGTTATCTAATCCACTCTTGAAACTCCTGAAAAGATGATCCAAGATAAACCTAATGTAATTTGGAAAGAGCTTAGAAATCAAATTCCATTCATACTATATATCAATGATGGTATATAACTTTGGTATGAAAAATAAAACTATGCATTATAGTATTGAAAACAATATTTTAAAATATATGGACTTTCTAGGGCTGAGATTATGGCTCAATGGGCCTCACACATGTGAGGCACTGGATTCAATTCTCAGCACCACATAAAAATAAATAAACAAAATAAAGATATTGGGTCCATGTGTAACTAAAAAAAAAATTAAAAAAACATATGGATTTTCTAAACTCAAAAATTTACCACTTGAGATTGATGACTATTTTCTACTTTACCAACGAGCTTTCTTGTAATTATCTCATTTCTGTTAATCATCTTACAGAGATTTTTAAGCTATCTCTTTGACCAGGCTTGGCACTTGGTAATGCACATAGAAGGCCATCAATATGTGGGTGGCTGGTTGTRGGAGACACAGACTTAAAGAGAAAAAATGAATCTCCCTTTGATTCCTAGAAGAGCAAGAACTTGGTGCTAGGTGGCAGCAGAGGTTTGGGGATATGAGTGTGGCAACAATAAGTGGTTTTTCATCTTCAAAAAGAAATGGAGGTTTCACCTTAATGGGGAAGTGGATAATATGAGCTCTTGAAGTATTCAAAGGAGACCCCAGTGTCATAAATGGAGAGACATAATAGTGAGTATCCCAGCATTTTGATTTTGAGTTGGTTTAAAGACCGTCCACCAAATGGCCATAGCAATATCGCTCCAACAACAAAAAAAGTGGCAACAATTGGTGTTTTCCATTTCTATCTGKGTTAAATCAACAAGAGGCACTACATAGCAAACAAATATTTCAGTTTACCTCAATAAGGTTTTTGGCAAGATGAAGACATGATCTCAATATACCTCTGTTTCATTAAGGGTAACAGCTAAAGAAACTCTCATACTGAGTTACAGCTGAGGCCATCACCCAACATGGAAAAAAACTTTCCCACAAGATCATGGCACATTTCACCTGGACTCAAAATTTTACTTTCTTAATTTTAAAATAGAATGAAAATCCAAATAAGACCTTTATAGGTTGAGCTACTGTCAGTTAATAGTTAGGCTGGCCAATTAGATCCATGAGTTGAAAAGTAAGAGGACCAGGCATTAATGATTGACATTGTCTGTATTGTTCTTTTCTTCTTCTTCTTTTTCACCAAGTCCTATCTTTAGTTCTTATTTGAAATTTGTTAATGAATCAGTAGGTGGTTTCCTACAAGTGAGCTCAGTTGGGAAATGAGACAAGTCAGTGCTCATTCAAAACAAACAAGGAAGAGCYGGGGCTTCCAGATGGCAGTGTATCTACATCCAATGAGATCAGCACGGCCACCTCTTCTCTAACAACGGGACATCAGGGATTCTCGGAAGACTGATGACACTGTGAAAAGAACCTGCTGAACTAGCAGCCTCTCACTGTTTTTTTTCTCCTTTTCCCCTTCCTTAGCCAACACTGAAAACTGTAGTTACGACTCAATGGGCGAATCCAACAACAGTCACTTCCAACACTTTCCACCTCCCCCTCCCATCTTGGAGAAGAGTTCCTTTGAGTTGGCTTCGAAGAAACCATCCGAGATCCCGCAGGTGAACAGCCCTGCCTTAGGACTTAGCATGGCAGCCCTTCAAATGCAATTCGGTTCTGCGGAGAGGGAAACCAACGGAGTCCATCCCAGCCATGGAGTAAATGGACTGATTAACGGCAAAGCTAACGGTAATAAATCTCTTCCGACACCAGCTGGCCTGATTTCGCCCACAAAGGAGCCACCACCTCTGCTTGCCAAACCCAAACTGTGAGTATTCCTGCATGGTTTTATAATATTTTCCACACTCCTGCTAAATTTCTTCTCTGGTTAGAAAAAACCTTTTGCCTGGACCATGTRGCAAGTTGTCCCTTCTAACAGGCAAGTTGTCCCCAACTGGATGTGACCATGCTTCTAAGTGGGGTCCTCCAAAAAATACAAAAAACAAACAAACAACAACAACAAAAACCTAAAAGTAAGGTAAATGAGAAGCTTGGTTAAACCTGCCCTTTGCTGAAAGCTATAAATGGTTACGACTGTGAAAATATCTGTGAGTGATATGGCATTCCGGTGTCTAGCCAAGGATGTGGCCTCTCCCCAGAGGGGACAGAGAAGGGGGATCTATACTGAGTCCTCTATTAAGCCCTGTACTAAGATATTCACAAACATTTTAAGTGTTGGAATCAGTAAGGAGATCTGACATAGATGAGAGGAGAAAATAAAATTGAGGATGGACWTTCAGCATGCAGATCCTGACACGGGCAACGAAACCAGAGAGAGTCGGGCTTGTCAGGAAGAAGTGTGCCCTTCACAACACAGCCTACTTGGCCCAGGAATTCCATGGACTGCATATTTCCACCATCATGTTTGATTTCCATTATTTTCTTAGGATAATAAAGCTTGCATGAGCTGTTTCCATTGGCATCACACAGCAGAGAGTTGTTATGAATGGAGCCATTACAATGTCAGGGAGAGACAGAAATATATTAACTCAAAAGGTTCTATCGTAGCATAACAGACCTTGAATTACTGCCCTGACAGGGGTCAGTGGAAAYGTAAGAGTCATACAGAATGTATATATACTCTACCAGGTCATATTTCCACGAGAATGAATTTGCCAGAAGCTAGGAAAGCCCCTTCTATTTCCCCATGATGTCTGGTGTTTTTGATTTGGGGCAGAAAGGATTTCTGTATGATATGTTTCTGAATACTATGTTTCCCTAGTACTGAAGAGTCTATGATTTTTCTCTCTGTGATCAGCTCATTTTTTAGAAACATTAGAATTCACAAGCTATTCCAACTAGAGTAATGCCTCCCATTTGTACAGCACTTTATTGTTTATCRAAAAATTTCGTGAACATTCATAGACTAACAAAATAGCAAACCATCTCAAAGAACACCTTAAATTAACAAATGGCTGATTTTATAAAAGTAAACTTCTGGACAATCTTATATTGTAGTTTTAAAAAAATCTACCTATTACTACTCAGMGCTTGATTTTGTGTTCTGTTCTGGCTCTTTTAAGGCAGCATGGCTACTGACTATGCAGTTTGTATGCAGTTGTGTGAAAGGTTAACATTTAAGACCTATTTCCAGCTCCACTGAGAGGCTGAACAGGTAAAATGAGCTAAAACATGGCGGCCATAAAAGAGATTTACACTCTTATAGCACCAGCCATAAAATTAATTGCCACTGCTGTCTTCTTTCATCTTTGCATCTTGAATATGTATTTGCAGTGCTTTTAATGAAACAAGGGACCTGCTTTCCTAGGAAAGAAAAAGGGAATGTGTTTAGTGACCAGGACTGTGCTCTTGATTAAGTGAAGTGTATCTACTACAATGGCCATCATAAATTGGATATAAATCACAGGAGAGTAAACATGAGGAGCTGTTAACAGGCATTTACAACCCTTCTTATCTCAGGCATTTCAACAGCTCTTCAGCTTTTAGCTCTGAAACAGTAATGTTGTGTGTATGATGGTGGGTGGGGCGGGGTGGGGGGGGTGGTCCTCTACAAAAGACAGAACAATTACATGGTTATTAAGAAGATGAGTAGCTTCAGCTCAAGTTTGAAGAGTGACATCATGATTTGCTTATGAGTCAGATTTTCAATATAAAATAAAATGCAGGACACAAAGGGACTTTGGTATTTAATATCCAAAAAAAAAAAAAAGAGGGGTCACAGCTCTTTTATGAGGCTATTTAGAGAAAGGCAGAACCAGCCCCAAACAACACCTTGCAACTTAGAAGTAATATTTGCATATACCAGATTTTACTGCTGTTGTTTTCAAGTCTTTATGTATTTAAATATTTCCTTAGAGTATGACTTAATAATTTTCATATTGTATAAATTACCTGCCATTTAACTGGGTAATATGTAATATTACATATTAAGTTTACATAATGATAGTATACATTGATTTTTAAGTTTTCTTATGAGTTATAATATTTTATTGGACTTTAGTTGATTACCCAATAAATGCATGCTGATGTGAAAATGTAAGCAATACAGAAGTCATTAAAGAAAAAGCTCATACTCACAGCTTCCCCTCTTACACCTCACCTTCTTGGTTGGATCTGAGGTCTTCCTCTCCTTTCTCTTTTATCAAGGTCTTCTTTTTTAAAGGTTTGGTCATTGTTTTAACATTGTGTGCATTGATAGGGAAATGCTTTGGAATGGCATCTGCAAATACTTTGAGCAGTAGTAAATGACAACAGGTAATTGCCAAGTGAAATACTTACAMATGACTGTTCCTTTTCAAAAACTGGGGGAAAATGGGATTTCATTTTTCTTTTATGGTCAGCAGTGAAAACCTATAGGTTGCTCTAATCTTTATTCATCCGCCTATAATTTTATTCCCTTTCACATAAAAGAAGGTTTCTATTTGAAGGGCTTTATGGCCTTTTATGCTTTGTCATTGTTGGTAACCAAACTTATAGGAAACAATTAGGAGGGGAGAAATAATAGGAATGAAAATATTTACTCTCACAATGAATTCATCTGAAAATRGTGTTTTGGCAGATTCCTGAAGAAAAAGATCTGTATGTAAAATTAGGTTCTGCTCAAGTATAAGTGGGGCATAATTAAATGTAAGCCATTTAGTAAGTACCCAAGGCCCTGCATCCTGGAATTTTTGGAATGCCTTACCACTTGATGTGAGTGAATAGCACCAAGCTCTGCTCAAGAAAAAAATCAGTAATTTCTGTGATTCAGTGATGCTCATAATTTTCCATCACAGTACAAAAGAAGCAACATGGTGCGTAAGTCCCACATCTTATCAGAGAAAAAGAAGAGGAATTAGTATAAACCAAGTTAATTGACAGTTCTATTTTTCTCCTTATTCTGAATGCACTGGATAAATGGGTGGCTGCCCACTCTCTATGAAAGATGCCTAAAGTTTCAGAGTAAATCTAGGGCTTCATGTAAAAGTGCCTGCTTCTCTTTATTCCTACACCACCATCCCCACCACCCCGCAAAAAAAAAAAAAAAAAAAAAAAAAACAGTCCTTCGAAGGCATGGATAGCTTGGAATTCCTAGGAATAAGCCCTTCTGGGAAAATGGCGAATGTCAGATTTAGTAGGTGATTTGCAAAACAGAGGAAAATGTCATGTTTTCCCATGAGCTCACCTCCTAAGTAAAACCAAATAATACACAAATGACAAAATGCTGTTCTCAAACCCCATTTATTTTTTTTCTATGTTCTTGTTGTCTTGTGGGAATTGGTTAGAATCTAAACCTTTAGAAGAAGCAAAATGAGAAATCAAAAGTGAGACCGAGGGTTGGGGTTGTAGCTCAGTGGTAGAGCGCTTGCCCAGCGTGTGTGAGGCACTGGGTTCGATTCTCAGCACCACATATAAATAAATTTAAGATCCGTCAACAACTAAAAAAAAAATTTTTTTTTAAAGTGAGACTGAAGTCTGAAGTAAAATTCTTGCACCCAGAAGCAAGAGAGGTCGACAGATAAAATGATACTTRTTTGCCATTACTGGTGCCAGAAATATGAACACAGTCATAAAAGTTCATGCYCTTTTGACTGGGAGAATGATGATGAAGTGGTTTCATTTTTTTTCCTTCATGCAAAACCAATAGCTTCTTTTTGCTCTTCCCCAAGTCTCCTAAAAAAAATGCCCTTATTTCCTATCACAAAAAGGCAAAATGATTTCAGCTTAAATCAGTCTTTCCAAAATCATTGCATTTTACTGCCTTTGCTTCTCTCTTCTTATACCCACTTTCACCCATAGACACCAAATTATTTCTCCAAATCTTGTCTCAATAGAGGTGCATATCTTATAAAACCCATTCAAACTAAGCTATCAGGGATTCTGTTGCCACTTAGTACAACTGCAGGCTGACAAAGGGAAGCTACATCTTCATAATAAGCCCTGGGTACAATCAGAGAAATGTCCCTTCGCTGCATGTGTAGGAATAAGAGATGGTGTGTTTGAGAGGGAGAAGAGAAGGAAATAGCAGCCTGTATCACTCTATCAGTGACTTCACTGTGCCAGGTTTTCTATATTTGGAAGTTTCTTGGGGTTCCCCATACCCCTGGACACAAATTCAAGTACAAATCGTTCCTTTGCCTGGAATGTTTTACTCCCTGGAATGTTCTGCTTCTAAGGGCTGGTTCCTTCTTGTCTTTCAAGTCTCATATTTATGTCACTCCCTTCCCTGACCACCCAGTCTAAAGCAGCCACCAGCCACTCTTCAGTAAATTGTAATYACCCCATGGCACCTAATTATTTCTGGTAGTGATTTCCTTGCTTTGGGGTGTGTGCATAGATTTCCCTTCAGTATTACAATGTAAGCTTTTTGAGAGTAGGGATAGTCACTGTCTTTCTTCACTAATATTTCACCAGGTCCTGGAGCAGGGCCTGATGCATAGTCGATGTTCAAAAATGTTTTTTGAATGATGAAGCAAGAACAGACCAACAAGAGGCAGACAGCCCCCGAGCAGCCCCCGAGCAGCCCCCGAGCAGCCCCATTTGTCCTGATTGACATTTTACCTAGATATGCTCAGGGCTTCTATTTTCAGACCCCACCAATTCCAGAGTTTTTCCTCTTTACAATACTTTTCCAACTGACATCATTTATCTTGTGAATGAATACGAAGAATGCAGTAAGAATCCCAGGGGAGAGAATTACATTAGAAAAGTTTATCCAACTTACTTAATTTGGGAACCCTCCCACTTTTCCTCATTTGTCCTATGTTCTCATTGGATTAACATCTTGTTTTAACATGATGGAGAAAAGGAGACTCTTGAAAGGACCSG